TTCCTGCTGCTTTGCATTTGTCTTCTGGCTCAGTGAGGGGGGATTTCAGGGGATGTTACTGAATAAGTTTTCAGATTTTTTGTTTTTTTAAATGAGAACAATTTCTAGGAGAAGCATGGCTGGCAACGCAGCTACTCAGCTGGCTCCGCTATGGGGCAAACAGGCTGCTCTCAGCTGTTTAATTCCCCAAAACCTGCCTCTTCATAAGACACAGGGCTCCCCTTCTTGCCCTTAAGAGCTTATAGAAAGTGCAGCAGAAAGGAAACCGGTCTTGCCTCCTATCAGGGAGAAACTGGAGCCCAAGGCCTGCCAGGATTCCCAGGAAAAACTGGTCCCAAGGTGAGTGCTGCTTGCTGTGGGCAGCTCCGAGCTGCCCTGCAGGCCACTCTGCCTGCACCAAGGAGCTTGGCCGGCGCTGCATGGGGCAGGGAGGGGAGCTGCTGCCCGGGGAGATACTCTGCAGCGTGGGCCGGGGTCTCGTGGTGCCCGGCGGCTCTGGGGGTGGCGCGTGGGCACGGGGCTCATCCAGGGTCTCCTGCGGTTCAAGGCAGAGCCCTGCTGTCTTGGTTAGTGCAGGGGGGCTGCAGTATGTGGGGCTGACGAGTCTCTCCCTCCCCCAGGCCCTGCCAGGCCACCCTGGCCCGAGAGGTCCTCCCGGCTTCCAGGTGGGTCCCAACACTGTAACGAGTTTTGTGTGACTAGCCCACATAAGCTTGTGTGTCCCCCACGTAAGCTTGTGTTACCCATGACATTAATGGTGCAGAGAACAGCAGGGACGGGCAGGTCCCTAGTCCCCCTTGCTGTTGTCCCGCTGGACTTGGTGCATGGATCTCTTGCGGGTGGCCAGAGCACATGGGACTTGCCCGAGCAAAACCTGGTTCTCTGCACCCTGCACAGCATCCCCAACACCATCTCCCCTCCCTGCCATGACCACACTATGGAAAACCCATCTCGTTTCAGGGAAGACCAGGTGATCCAGGTCCTCGAGGGCTTCCAGGGCTGCCTGTAAGTGGAAGAGCTGTAACTTGTGGAGATGTTCTGTAGGCTGAACATAAGCAACGTCCAATGTGGTATCACATAGGTGCCCATTCTGGCAACAGCTGCGCAGCTGGGCTGGCCGTGAGGCTCAATAAAGGAGCAGAATAAGATCCAAGCCCCATAGAGGTAGCCAGGTGGTGACAAGGTGCATATGTAGACCACAGTGCTCTCCTGCACCTGCAGTGATCTATCTCTGCATGACAAGATTACCAGCACCCTGCCAGGCTCAGGTGGTGCTCTTATAAACTGCATGGTAGCCAGGTTGCTTCAGACGTGGGATTTCACTCTTCCCCCCCTGCCTACTCCAGTGCCCAAAGAGAGAGGCTGCAGAATTCCCTGTGTTTTGGGATGCCTGACTGCCCTTTTGCTCTTGCAGGGTGTTCCCGGCATGCAAGGACTGGATGGCATTCCCGGGAAACCTGGTTTGGCAGGAGAAACAGGGGTTTCTGGAAGGAGTGGGGCTGCTGGCCTGCCTGGGTACCCAGTAAGTTCAACTGTGGTTCTTTTGGTTGATATTTGACAAAACATTTAATATTGGAGCAAGGAAGGTTGTTGCTTGGAGGCTACTGGGGAAGCAGGGTGGCTTGGCACAACCCAAGGGCTCTGTCCACCCTTACCCTGCACAGGGTGCCCAGAATATGTCCACTCTGCTCATCCTCGCACACTGCTTTGTTGGCCAGTGCATTCTCCACAAACCTTGTAGTGAGGTTCCTATGGTTCCTCTTAGCTCCCAGTCTCTGCAGTGCCTTCACTACTCTTTCCTCCATCTGTTCATCGATGCCTTAGGTTGGGCTTTTCAAATCTGCTTTCAAATCTGATTGTTCAGCACCTTTGCCATAAAGTTGCCTTGTTTCTTTGCTCTGGTTGCAAGGGTGTTTGTTGGCATGGATCAGGCAGCGGGAGCTCCCCAAAGTGCCTGCACAAAGGGCAGGAAGAGGGAAACTAGTGCATGAGTCTTGACAAGCTGGGGACTGGCTCGTCTGCCAGCAGGGATGTGGTGTGCTGGTCTCTCATCCAAGCCTGGAGCTGCAACCACCTGCTGAATGCCTTGTTGTTAATACAGGCTGTTTGTTCTCAGGGCCGGGAAGGTGTAGGTGGACCTGAAGGGCCTGTGGGGAGGAAAGGAGAGAAGGTAAGAAAAGAGGCCTTTTGGTAGCCCTCATCATTCCTGTCCATGTATGCAGTTCACATATGTGCTTGTCAGGAGCTAGTCAGGCAGGGCAAAGATTCATGTGATGCTCTGCTGATGCTAAAGGTTATTTTCCTCCTACATTTCCTCCTCTGGAGCAGTGACCCTGCTCAGGGTCTCCAGGAGCCATCCTGAACACAGGCTTTCCCAAACTGCTGTCTTTGAGATGGACAGAGGTGCATGAGCATCCATGAGAAACAGCGGGGGTTGAATGTGAAGTAGTCCAGGCCTTGCCACTGGATAATTTGGAGGGATGGAGATTTATAAGCTTGATGCAATGTGAGAGAAGAGCCTGGCAAGCCTGCCTGGTGACAGTGATCTGTGGCATCACGTGGGTCGGGGCAGGGGGCTGTCTGCAGGGACCCTTGCTGAGGACAACCACAGCTGCTTGTTTCTGCCCATTTCCTCTCCCAGGGCGATGCAGGTGATCCCGGGGAAGCCGGCATCAGTGGGCTGGATGGAGAACAGGTAGGTCAGCTCACAAACCTGTCTCCCCTCCTCCTGGTACTGCTCTCCCAGAGCTCTGTCTCCAGGGAAGGAGACAGAACGTAGAAGGTCAGGTCCATGTTACCTGATTTAAGGATTTTGTGCAACAGGGACAAATCAAAGCACAAGCAAGATGGGAACTAATAATCTGCTCAGGAAAAGACACCATTGGAAAGTCTGATGAGATGAAACATTAGAACATGGGGACTTCCCGGGCTGACTGTGCTGAGGTGGTGTCATGGAGCCCCATATGTGCTGGTGGTGGGGAAAACCCATGGCAGTAATGGGATGGTTGTGTTTTCCTGCAGGGAGCACCAGGCCTGCTGGGAGTGGAAGGTCAGCCAGGACGCAGAGGCGAGCAGGTCAGTTCCTGCGGGGTGCTGAGGGTGGCAGGTGCCACGTGCGCCAACCTTGTTGGTGGCAGAGGGTTTCCCCTGGCCCCACCACCTCTCTCGGCTCTGCTGCAGATGCATGAGGTGGCACTCAAGGTGGCCTCTCTGCTGCTGGGTCCCTCTGTGCTGCTCCCATCTGTCACTGCCACACAATCCTTCTGGGAGACTTGCATGCACCAGAGATTTTGGTGCTGATCTCCCATCAAGTGCAAACACGCACCTAAAACCATGCAGGGCTTTTTCACATGCCTGTTTGGGGATTTATGTTGCTCGTTATGGTGGGGAAGGGCAGGGTTCCCTCAAAACTTTGGTACCTGGAACAAGGTAAAATAGGAGGGACTGTATGGTGAGAAATAATACATGTACAGTAAGGCAGACCCAGGATCAGCTAGGAAAGTCAGCCAGAAATAATACTGGTGATCGTCTTCCTTTCCAGGGAGAGGCAGGAATCCCTGGAGCTCCAGGCATCAAAGGTGGTCCTGGGGAGCAAGGGGACGATGGGCCGAAGGGGCCATCCGGGAGATGGCTGATGCTGCAGCAGCTGCTGCTGCCCGCTGGCTTTCTCAGTGTCTGCGTTGTGCTCTGCCAGCCCCTGGGATTGCTCTGGGGAAGAAGGTGTTAGCCCTGAACAGCCTGTACATCCTGCTGTGGACAAGGTTTGGGCTCCCCTTGCTATAGGGGAAGATGCTTCTTCAATGTGCTAGTTACTTGATTCCTGCTTGCTTTTGGATTGGCATGGGTCATAGCTACAAGTAATTTTGTGGTTCAGTTGTGCACCTGGTAGACCTGATGGCTTTGCAGAATCTGCAGCATTTTTCCCAGAAAAAAAGAATCCCAGCCAGAGGAGGATATTAAAGTTCATGCAAGTCAAAACCTGGCTTCTAAATAACCAAGAAAGCTTCAAGTACATCTGACTGGGACAAGACCGGGGGAACATTCGTTGCATCTGACACTTACGTTCCCTCTCCTGACAGGGTGATGTTGGTAATACTGGAGACCCGGGTGAGCCAGGACTCCAGGGACAAAAGGTGAGCAATGCCTCTTGCCCGTGTTTTTTCTAGCATCTTATAGTCTGCTTATCCTCCTTAGTTTGCCATAGAGGAGGTAGAAGCAGGGCATGGATATCCCCAAGACCTGTTAAGTGGCTAAAAGCCCCTGGAGATACTGGGGACTGCAGCCTCTTTAGACATGACATTAAAGCCTCTCCTGTGAGTGCTAACGGGTGCGTGTCTCATGTCCGTGGCACCCAGTGAGAATCTGAAATATGTTGTCGTAATGCAGAAGTTCTTCCTTTTTCCTCTTGTGCTGACATCTTTGTCTTCATTCCTGGCTAGGGAGATGTTGGCCTTAGGGGTCTTCCTGGAGTGCCTGGACAAGGAGCTCCTATGGGGGACATTGGAGGAAAAGGACATAAAGGAGAAAAGGGCCAAGAAGGTTTGCTGGCAAGTACAGAGATGGAATCATTGAAAACCCACAGGGCTTTCAGCATCTCCCTCAGGCTGACAGTTCTGCTGCAGGGTCATTAGGAGTGGGACTCACCCCAGCAGGAAACGTAGGAGCTATAGAAAGTACTAGAAATTGGGAAATCTCCATAATTGAGAAGTTTTACATCTCAGGGGCATGCCACCAAATTTGGCTGTAGTCGACAACAAAGGGCATGCTTTGGTGCATCTATCCCTGTGTGAGTATTTGGGCAGAAAAACAGCCCATTTACAGAAAGAATCAAATTTTGCGTGTGGAGATAGTTATCTGACCTGGTAAGAAAAATCTTTCTTTTTATGGGCTTTTGCATTTGTCTCAAAGCTAGATTTCAGTATCTATGAGATCTCGGTGTGTCTTGCCAGGAGCCTGATCCACCCACAACTCCACGTTTCCTGCATGTTGGGTGAACTTGTCTGACCTTGAAATCCCCTTCTCTCCAAGCAGGAGTGTCCATGAGGCTCAACTGTTGGGGTTTTCTTTTCTGTATGTGTCTGTGGTCTTGGGGTGGAAAGAACTGTCATTGCCCGTTGGGTTGCTCCATGGGCAGCTTTCCTGTGAATCTGCTGATTTTTGTCTCCTTGGGGCTACTGGCCAGAAGAAAACAGCCGCCAGCCCCTTTTGCTGGTCAGCCTGGGCTAGCATTTCCTTCAGCCAAACTGCAGCCTCCTTTGGGCTTGCTCTGCCAGACTCCTGTGAGCGTTACCTCCTCTCTGCCCCAGGGCCAGGTTGGTGTTGCTGGAGGCGCAGGACCTGCTGGAGCCAGAGGACAGTTTGTAAGTCACAGCTCCCTCAGGTGGGAGCTGAGGGCACGTGTGTTACTGGGTTTCCAGTTGTGGCTGAAGCCTGGTTTGGTTAAGGCAGTGAGACTCCTCTTCTTGTACCCTGCACAGGGTGCAACGGGCCTCCGAGGTCTTCCTGGGCTCGACGGTCCCGAGGGAGCGAAGGTACTGAGGAGTGATGGTTCGCGTCCCTTATCTCTTGCTGAAACACCCTTCCAATGGGAGAATGAATTTAGCAAGGACTTTTCAGAAGACCATGAAGAGTGTCCTGTGGTTTGGGCACCTAAAGCACCTCCTGCCAGGGTGTTTGGACCTGCAGCTCCCCTTGCAATAAGTGGGCTCCGCTTCTGGTGGAGAGTCAGTGAAGTCCCCTGGGTTTGCAGGTGCTCCCCTCTTTCCCAGCTTTTCTCCAAGATCTGGTTTCTGGTCTTAGTTGGAAGGAGAGCTCTCTAACAGGGCAAGCTGTTCCCGATCCTGCAAGGACCTGACTCAGGGGGACAGGGCAAGGGACGGTCCCTTCCTCCTGGGAGCTGGTTCAGCAAGACCAGGGAGGCGTTTCCCTGTGGCGATGGCGTGGAGCTGGGAGGACAGAGCTGAACTCGTGTCCATTTGTTCCCCAGGGAGATCCAGGACCACGGGGCATGGACGGACCCGCTGGTGCTGCCGGATGGGAGGTACTGATGTCCTGGGGGCTCTCCCAGACTTCACCATTTCCAGCACAAAATGAATTCAAAGGATTAATTGCCCATTAACTGCCGGTTCCAAGGGTTTCAGGAGGGAGGAGAGATTTATAATGTCTCCAATCTTGGCACTGACTTTTCAGACATACTATGACCCGTTTAATTCAGTGATCAGGATCCCTTTGAAAAATCAACTCTTGCTATCACAGCACTTTTTTCAACTAAAACTCATTTACAGAAAAAAAAAAGGCAAAATCAAAAGAAAAATCCATAGATTTCAATGAAATAGTAAATTCCAGTCAAATATTTTGTTCTTGCCAGTCTGGAACAAGTTCTCATTTCCTGAAAATCTGTGAATTATGTCATTTTGGGATGGCTAGAGTTTATTACCCACCTCCAGTTGCCACCCCCAGTAAAAATACTGCTTTTGGCACTGACTGAGTGGAGCCCTCCTCTCTGGGGACGATGGCTGCTAGTGCTTTTGGGACAAGGCAGTTCTGCTAGAGCCTGGTGAGGGAGCTGCCTCCCAAGGCACCCGTCGTAAGTGATGCCCCCTTAGCCAGCTGGATTTTGTGTGTAGGGGAGGATGCTTAAAATACAGGGAGAGGGCCTGGGTGTGAAAGCCGTGAGGGGGATGGATTTCTCCTAAATCCTCCATGTCACTGCAGGGAGTCACAGGCAATACCGGAGTAAAGGGAGATCGAGGCAAACCTGGTCCTGTGGTGAGTACTTCGGTGTAAAAGTATTTAATTTTTAAACATGTTTAAAAAATACTTTAAAATATTTAAAGTGCTTAAAATACTTTAAAATATTAAAATATTTAAACATTTTGTACTGCATGGCACAAGAGACCTATATAAGGATATCTGTAAGGACTTGCTTTAGATAAATACTTTTGTAACCAAGTCAACATTTTCTTGGTTTCTTTAGAACTATAGTTCCTTAAAGGTGTTTTGATATAGCTATTAAAAAGATGTGGAAAAGAGTGGGTGCAGTTGTACAGTTAAGGCTCATTTATCAGGGCTGCCTGGAGTGGGTCCAGTGCATGCGGCTCTCCTGTCTGCACAACAAATCTGCTGGTGCTCAGATCTGCAGGCCAGCCAGGGATGCTCTGCTAGCCCAGGACACCCTCTCACGTGTATTTGTCGCTGCTGGTTAGGTGTCTGCTCGTGGTGGTGGCTGATCAGCCCCTTCCCAGCACAGGCTGAGCTCTACTGCACCAGGTTTCTTGGTTATAGACGTTCTCCACCTCAACTGGAGGGATAAATCTTGTCTGGGTCCCAGTTTTCCTACGCTACAATGCCCTGTGCCCCTAAGTCTCCTGCAGAAATGGATGGATATTTGGGAGGCAAACGAGGGAATGGGAGCCAGCCCCCAGTCTGGGTCAGGTCTGTAACTGCTGCCTCTCTTTTCTGTGTACACCAGGGCACAGCGGGTGCCCGGGGAGGAAAGGGCCTCCCCGGCTTCAAGGGCTACTCAGGGCCTGAAGGTGGCAAAGGAGCTGCGGGAGCGAAAGGAGAGCTGGGCCAGCAGGTAACGTGTCTCACCTTCCTGCTCTCCACGGAGGTGACAAGGGGACCTCCCAGCAGGGTGGCTCGCTCTGCAACTCCAGTGCCTGGGGTTTCGCTCAGCCTCCTTCCTCCAGCTCCCAAATTTCCCCTCTTGCAGCGTAGTAGGATGGAGTGGATGGTCACTCCATCCACAGCATCCCCGGTTGGGTCTGCGAAGCCTTGAGCACTGTACTGAGCTCTGCATGCAAACCCCAGTTCTTTGTGTTGCTCACCAATGGAAAAATGACTTACCATGTCATTTAGTCTGGCAGAAATCCATAAAAGCTGTTTTTAATAACCTTGCTGCTCTATGGATCTGAACCTCTTGGGGCACAGGGGAATTGGTAGGTGGATCAAGCTTCCTGACTCCAAAGTGACTGGTATTTTAGAGAGAGAGAAACTGAGGCATCAACATCATGGAAGGGGCTATGGGGTCGAGGTGCCGAGCTGGTCTGTGTGGACCTTCCATGTGGAAGTGCCTCAGTGCAGGGGAGAAACATGGGGCAGAGCCCATACCCTTCAAAAGGCAACCAGCTCTTTTCCTGCCTTCCCCCAAATAACCTGGAACTGATGTCAAGTCAATTTTTTGTCTTCACATGGATTCAGGGTCCTCTTGGGTCACCAGGCGAGGCTGGAGCACCAGGGTTAAGTGGCACCAAGGTGAGTGGGCCTCTGCTGCTGCTTCTCTTGGGCCCAGCCTCCAGCTTTCTGCAAAGCCCTGTTCTAAGCAGCTCCCAACTGGGCTGGCCAAGGATTTGGGATATGGGGGAATACCCCTGTGACAGCCTGTTCTTGGAGCTCTGCTAGTTTCTTTTCTCCCTAGGGCCCGATGGGTGTGAAAGGGAAGCCGGGCAAACCAGGGAAACCAGGACAAAAGGTGAGGACCTGGAGGCCTGCCATGGCATTTAGTTTGGGGAGCTCAGAGGGATGCCCTTACGGACAGCTTTCCTTCCCCTTTTGGATTTTAGGGGTCTCAAGGACGAGCTGGTCCTGGAGGGCAGAAAGGTCATAAAGGAGAGAAGGTACCCCTGAAAATCCTCCTCTTGTTATTTCCTTCTGCAAAGTAACCAAGAAGCAGCAGCCCATCACCAAAGTGCCTGAATTCATCCCACCAGTGCCCAGTCCTCTGGAAAGTGTTTAGGTGGCCGTTAGCACGTGGGGCTGCAGGGCACGGTCTTCATGCCTTTAATTCACACATATCCAGCGTCTCATTGCAGCAGAGCAGCCACGGGGGAGCAGCACCTGTCCCCAGGGCCTGCACACCTCCTGTCCCCAAGCTACCTCCTGCCCTTGTGAGCCATCCTGGTCCTGCCTCCCGTGGGATTTTGAAGGAAATCCATGTGGGAGCTCTGAGTGCAGGATGGGAGGATTTGCATGCAGGGAGGCAGGAGTGGTGAGGGTGCAGTTTGCTGGTCCCAAGAGTCGTGGATATGACTTGGATGCCTGCAAACAGCACGAGGAGGGATGCTTTTTCACCCCCAGGGCATAGAAATATGGGCTGCTCTTGGGCCTGGCAGGGGTTCATGGCTCTGGTCATAGCCTCCCATGGAACGGTCCAATCTCGACTATTGTATGGATTGGAAATAATAATAATAATAATAATAATAATAATAATAATAATAATAATAATAAAGGTCCCTGAAAACCACAGTTGCCCTGGCTGGCTTGCTTACCTGCACATGGAGAAATAACCCCCTGGAGCCGGTCTGGGAATGAAGTCTACCTGGGGCCATGGGGAGCCTCCTTGGTGAGGGCCCAGCAGGTATTCCCCAGCTCCATCCCCTCACTGCCCTTGTGGGCTCTAACAGCCTTGGCAAGGGATGTTTCCCTTGGATGCCACCCTGTCATCTGCCCTCATGTCTCAGGGCCGCGCTCCAGGCTCCAGCATTTCTGTGCAGCCAGCAGCTGCTTTGCCCTCACCGGGCACTGTGAACAGGCAGCATCTGTGCTGTCTCCCGTCTCTGCAGGGCGACACCGGGCGCGAAGGGGCAGAGGGGCTCCCTGGAGAACCTGGCAGAAGGGTAAAGTGGCACTGTGGTCTCTGGAGGGGTGGCAGGAGGCGCCGGCGTCCTCAGGGTGGCAGCATGGCCGGGGTGGTGAGGGCAGCCACTCAACACACTTAAGATCCCTCCTTCTGTCGCTGCTCAGGGCAAGCGAGGCAAGGCTGGCCACCGGCCACCAAGAGGCCCCTGGGGACTCAAGGTAGGTCGACTCCGCGCTGCGTTTCAGCATCACCTGGGGTCTGTGTTGCCTGGGGGAAGCCCCTCTCTCCCCAGGTTTCTGCTGTGGCCGTGTGGCAAGGTGGTTCAGCGAGTGCCCCTAGGAGGCTGAGCAAGGGACCCCCCAGACACCCCGGTACGCACTGGGGCAAGGGCCCTGCTGGCCCTGGGATGCCCACAGGCAGCTCGAGGTGCTCCCAGCTGTGGGAAGGCCGCTGCTCCCCAGCTCCTCCGGCTGCCTGCGGGTCAGGGGCTCTGTAGGGGGTCACTGGAGTCTTCACAGGTAACTCGTTCCTTGTGTTCGGCTGCTGCCTCGGCTCTCCCCAGCATCCTGGCTGTGATCAGCCCGGGGCCACGACAGCACCTACAATGGCCCCTTTGGGCATTCAGCATTTTTGTAATTCTTGCATTGAGTGGGGCTTTTCTATCTCTGAAGTATCAGAGATGTAGGTGTATTTTATTTTGTTGTGGTTAAAAAGTATCACGCTGAGAAGGCCCGTTACCACTGTTCATTCATGTGCCTAAAAGGGAAGGGGCAATTTTGTGTGATCGCCCTCAGGGTTGTTCCAGGTGCTCTGAACGTGCCACCCTGTCTCCTGAACTAGGCCCTCTCCTGTCATGCATCTTCTTGCTCCTCGCCACCACTGCGCCGGGGCGAGACGTGCTTCTGCCTTGCTTTTGCATTGAACCACTGTGCAAACCCAGTAAGGGTCTCTCGCTTGTGTCTTTCAGGGCTTCCCAGGTGAAGCGGGGCTGGAAGGGCCCCAGGGACCCCAAGGACCTTATGTGAGTATTGGCTTTGGGGAGGAACCCTCTTGCAAGGAGGTTTGGGTCTCAGGTCTGCGGGAATGCCAGTGGCTGGAGCAAAGGCTTGAGGAGCACCACGGTGGGCTCCTGCCTCTTGGTGGCCATGGACAAAGCTCTTTGGCCCCTGCGTCCCTCCAGGACCTCTTAGCTCCTGATATCAGGTGCATTCAGCACAACCCAGCTCTGCCAAATGACCAAAGAGGAGAACTGTTTAAGAAGTGTGACATTTCTAGATGTTTTATCCATCCAACATCCCTTTGAACATGGTGTATTGCCTTCTCTTCCCAAATTAGCTTCCCAGCAGTGCATATGCAAGGAGACAGAGCAGATAATTTCTCCATCATTTTTACAAAAGCTGAATGCTTCCCTTCCTAGTTACGGACTAGGTGTATCCACAAATCGAGTGCTTGCAGGAGACGCCTCAAGTGTGGCCATGCTCATGTTCCCAGAGAATGGCCATGGCTGAAAGATTATACTGCAGCACCTGACACTGGTTAAATAGTTAACTATATCTATAGATAGATATATTCATCTAATTACTGTGTATTTTAAATCTGACATTTGAAAATTTCAAATTTGGAAACTTGACCAAAATCCAAATGAGAAGCCACGATGTTCTAGAACCTGCTAAAGGGCCTGAACAGAATTTTTAATAGGGGAGTATGGGGGAAAGAAAGGATCTTCCCGAGGGAAAAATCAAATATTTGATGACAAATGCCTTGAGATCTCTAAATCTGCCTGAAATTCTCTGAATCCTTGGGCAGCTCTCAGGGACAGTTTGTGGTGAAGCCTCTTTCCTGGCCAAGCAAAGATATATCCCTGGAGGCCCTGTCCCCCACACAGTGACTCCTTTTCAGCAGTCCCGTGGGGTGTGAGAAGCTCCCTGCAGCCATGGGGTGATGTGGGTGATGCAGATTTTTCTCCCCTAGGGTGTTCCTGGGCTGAAAGGCTTGAAAGGAAATGCCGGCCCCAAAGGGCAGAAGGTAGGAGATGCGCTGCGGACACTGGGGACTTTGAGTAGAGGCTGGCGTTAAATTTGCTGGATACAATCCCCCCTCCTCTTGAAACCCAACCACCGCAGCTAGTTTCTCCAAATTGCCCCAGTTTTCCCAGACATCGAGAGATGGACACTTTATACTCTGGAGCTTTTCCCTCTGCCAGGTCTTTTTCCAGCCTTTCGGTGTCGCAAGCGGTGGTTTAATCCCTACTCTCAGCATCGCTATTGACCCTGCAAATGCAGACACCTTCTTGTGCTACTTCCTGCTGTGATGGGCTCAGCCTTGGCGTGGGAAGCCAAGCGCATCCTCGTGGTCCCATCCATCAGCTGCAAGGCTGTAAATAAGTGACAAGCAGTCCCGGATGGCAGGTGGTTGCTCACAGCTTCAGGGAGAATGAAGCTTGGTAATAAATAAACTTTGATTCTGCTGCAAGCCAAATAATCAATGGCAGAAGTTAAAGTCCAGAGTTGTCAGCAAGGCCAAATCTGTGGAAGAGCTGCTGGAGGAAGAGGCTGTTTGCTCCCTATGGCGCTGGTAGAGCTGCCTGTGGAATTGCCCACATTGGCTGCGGTTGGGTTTCTTCCCCTGCTCCCTGAAATTTCAGAACCCAAGGTGTTTTATTTTGCTTTGCTTTGTTTTGCTTTTCTTTTCCTCTAAGTTCCTCCCAAATGATTCAAGTTGCTATTGAATTATTTAACCCGGAGTAAAACACTGGCTGTTTTGCCTTTGGGGCTCAGCAGGGACTGAAGGTGCCCTGTCATGTGTCCCCTTCCCAGTCATTTCTTCCCATTCCCAGTCCAAACATCCAGGAAATATTTGGCCAAGGTTGCCCTTTCCAGACAAATGTCTCCTGCCAGCTGGGCTGGTTGTCTGGGCAGTAGGAGATCAGAGAGGGTCTCCTGGGGGCCATCTAGGTCCTTCCTCCCCTTGGGCTTTCTGCTGGGGGATGGCTGCATTTAGGAGGTCCCACTTGTGTCTGAATTAGTGGTGTTCTGCATGGGTCCGGGTAGCAGGGAAAATCTCCCTTTCCAACCTAAGAAAACACTGCTGAAGGATTAAAATTGAGCAGGGCAGAGCTCCCACATCAGGTTCCTGTGAGTTGATGTTATGGAGCATTTTGACCCATCCTTGCCACCAAACCGTTTGCTGAGTGTCCCCCCGATGATTGACTTTCGTAGGGCGAGAGAGGTGACGCAGGAGACCGTGGCCAGCAAGGTGACGAGGGCTTCAAGGTACGTCTAGGGCTTTGGCTTTTCCTGCTGCACCTTGTTCCATCTGGCATCCTGCGTGACGCCCCTTCCGCTCTCCTAGGGCAAGCCAGGAACGCCTGGCATCCTCGGGAGGCCGGGACCCAGGGGCGAGCAGGTAACCGAGGTCCGGAGGGCGATGGGAGGCTGGCGGGGACGGATGTGCCAGGGGACCCAGCTGCTTTCCTGCAGCTTTGCTGGGAAGTCTTGGACACGCTGCAGGGCATTTAGGGCGCAGATGGGGCAATTTTCTTTGTCTGTTCTTGCAAAATGGGTTAGCAAAGAGGAAGCTGAGGAGCAGCCTGCTTAGTATTGGGCAAAATGCTGGGAGATGCCACTGCTCCTAGCAGTGATTTGACTCTGCTGTGACTTCTGCTCGTGTCCTTGCAGGGTGACAACGGTCCTCCGGGTCCCTGGGGGCTCCCTGGGCTCCCCGGGAAGCCGGTAAGTCCTTTGCTGGCCCCACAGCGCTCGGGCAGGGAGAGCGGCCGGGATGGAGAGCGGCCGTGCTGGGCTTGCACGGGGCGAGGTGCCCGTGCACGGCGCGTTCATTGCGCCCGCGGCCACGTCCTGGCGTTCAGAGGGCGAGAGAGGATTAGTCTCTAATCGGATCTGATGGCAGTGTCCCTTCTTTGTCTCACCAGGGCTTGTCAGGACCGAAAGTAAGTAGGACAGAGCATCTTAAGCTGGTGCAGCATGCAGGGACTGGTGCTGCCGCTGGGCTGCAGGGATCCTTGTGGTCCCTCCACTGTCCCTGGCTGTGTTTTGCAATGTGGCATCTCCTCTGTTTCTGTCTTTACCTCCCCCCTCCCATTTGCCACAGGGACCGAAAGGTGTCGTGGGCCAGCCGGGACCCAGGGGCAAGCAGGGCTCTCCGGTGAGCAGAGCTGCCAGCGTGTGGGACCTGCTGGCTGCAGGCGCCAGGGGAGGCCCTGGGGCAGCAGCTGGTGTTGCCTGTGTTGTCCTTGTTCCCCAGGGTCCTGCTGGCCCTCCTGGTCCCCACGGGCCAGCACTGAACCTGTCTGTGGAGCAGCTGCAGGTGAGCGGCCGGGGGCTGGGCACGGCTGGAGCCAGGCAGGAGCTCAGCTCTGTCCCCCCTGTTTCAGCGCCTGATTTATCCCTCCACCCGCCTGAACCGCACGGTGCTGCGGACTCTCCTGGCTGCTCTGACACGGGAGCTGGGAGCGCTGGTTGCACACCCCGATGGCACCCAGGAACACCCCGCGGCCACCTGCAAGGAGCTGCTGCTGGCCCAGCCGCAGCTGCCGGATGGTATCAGAGGGCATGCAGGGGTCCTGGGGCTGCTGAGCTGCACAAGGGCTCGGGAGGACCTGCGGGGACACGGGGGGATGCTCCCTGGTGGTGGAGAGAGCAGAAGGCAGCGTTGGCTCTGCCTGTCCATGGGGATGTGTTGGGAGCACCTCTTGGCCAGGAGGGGAGGCTGGATGTGGGTCTGGGCCCGGAACCCAATGCTGGCATGGCCAGTGCCAGGGATGCACCCTGCCTCCCTGCAGGTCGCTATTACATCGACCCCAACCAGGGCAGCCCCCGCGACGCCCTGCTGGCCTTCTGCAACTTCACGTCGGGGGGCGAGACCTGCATCGCCCCTGTCCAAAACCAGGTGTGAGTCCCCAGCTGTCACGGGGTGGCCCATGGCACACAGAGCTGCTGGCACTGGGGCTCTCCTGCGCCTGCCAGTGCAGGACAGGGAGGGTACCTGGAAGGGGAGGGATCCCCAAGCCCCACGACGTCCCTGCGCGGGGACAATGCGGGGCTTTGCAGTGTGCGCCCCGTGCAGGGGGCTGGCCTGGGGCTCGCCGTGCCAGGGCAGCCCCACGGCGGCCAGCGGGCGCTCCTGTCCTTGCAGCTGGAGTACGAGGGGGCCATCGCGGTGCAGCTGCGCTTCCTGCGGCTGCTCAGCGGCCGCGCCGCCCAGCAGGTCTCCTACGCGTGCCGGCCCCGCGCCGCACACGGCCAGCCCCAGCCCATGAAGGCGATCCGGTTCCTGGCCGACTCGCGGGAGCGGAGCTACGCAGCCACGCTCCCGGGCTGCGTGGTGAGTGGGGCCCCTGTGCACCACTCTGCACCCACAGATGCGGCTTCCCCCAGGAGAAGGGAGAGCATCTCTCCTGGGCAACCAGGGCTGGTGCTGACATGGTGGGATGCGGTGGAGGACGGGTGGGATGCCCGGCCAGGCGAGCGCGTGTGAGAGGAGTGGGGGAGGCTGCAAGAGGTGGGTGATGGAGACCTGGCCCTGCCACCGTGGCTTATAGGGAGTAATGTGGGCAGCCAAGGGGCTACTTCATGCTCACAAGTGGGTCTTTGGGGTCAACCGTCAGCATCCCATGCCAAGGCTTGTCTTCATGGCCAACCTGAGGCAAGGTCCAGCTATGGCCTAGGTAGGCCCAGAGTTTGGGTGCTCCTCAGCGCCCGCATTCCTCCATTTCAGCCCAATAATGACTCATCCCTCACCGACACCATCTTCCACTTCGCTACCGAGGAGCTGGCCCTGCTGCCCCTGCGTGACCTGGCCGTGTTTCACGATGGCGACGCTTCGCACCAGTTTGGCTTCACCGTGGGCCCTGTTTGCTTCAGCTGAAACCAGGGGCCCCAGCCCCATAGTCCCCTGGCCCAACTGCTTCCCCGCAGGGAAGGAGCAGAGATGCTCCCAGCCTACATTTTGGAGCTGCTGTTTTTGTGCGTGGGAGATGTGTTTGTAGCTGCAGTATGCAACGGACTCCTCTAGAAGAATACCGTTTACAAAAGCTTGTCTCTATAAGTTATATAAATATATATTATGTACGTATATGAAAAGCTGCTGCTTTATCGTTGGATGGGGAACAGTCACATCACTACACCCACCACGAGCTTCTTGGAAAAACGAAAAAGGGAGGGAGGGCACTGCCAGCTTGGGCAAGGGGATGAAAGGGAAATGAGAAATAGACTGGTGGAGCTGCATCCTGCAGTCTTCCCAGGAAAGCCACCCTGAGAACCCCCCAGTTCAGTCAGGAAATCCAGTGCTCTCTTGCCCTAGGGTAGAGGGGGTGGAATTAACAGTATCCAGGGATGACCAACAATGGAAACGGGTCCCCACTCGAGGTGGCAGAAGATCCCCTCCACGGCCCACCTCACCTCCACCGATGACCACGTTCAACAGGTACAAGGCCCTGGAACATGTGGATCAGATTTATTTACAGTTTTCTGGAGAGAGAAACTCTTCATGGAAGGCACCCAAAGTGCTAGTTCCTCTTTTAGCTTATGTTCTGTGCCTCTGTTCTTACCCACGCGCAATGGAAGGTTTCTCTTTCTTCCCTTGCTTTTGGGGCAGGTGGGTGGGAGTCTTTGTGGTGCTTATGATGTGTCCCAGAGCTTTTTTAATAAGGTATTTTTAGTAAGGAATTTTCATAAGGAATCTCAAAGAACAGAAACAATTGGATGATGTGCTTAAACTAAATTATGAATGTTATTTTTCTTAAGCTATTTATTGCTGTAATGCCCAGAGGTTTCTAGTTGTAGTTCCAAGGACAATAGGACTGTGATTTCAGACATTCTTGCTCTGCTTAGAGAAGCCCATGTTCTAAACTGATAACTGATAAATGGGAGAGGCTCTGCAGAATGACTGAGTATGGAATCAGTCATAGTATTTTCATTATCAAGCTACTTGAAATTGTGAAAAATTTCCTCTGTTGTTTGTAGGCCCTTGGATCTCATGGCAGCTGCACCACTGAAGTTGAGAAGGAGACCCAGGGGAAGATGAGCGTAATCCAGCAGAACTTCCAGAAGAACCGTGAGGCAGTGCTCTCCCAGCTGCTATCTCTCGTGTGTGAAATCAAACCTGAAATCCATGTGAATTACCGCATCAATGGGTAGTTGTGGAAGAATGGATGAGCATCCTGGAAACGCTGGCAGTAACATCTGAGTTTCAGGTGGAATGTACAGCCCTTAGCCATACCTTACCTGTTCTTCTTGTAACGATGTTAATTTATTTCAATGAGTTGCAGGTCATCAATATCTTGTTGGAGTT